ATCTATTTTGTTTGAATCAAAGATGACCTTCTTTACAAATATTTGAATGTTTGTTCTTTTAGTTGCTTTGTAAATCCTAATAGCATCCTGTAAAAATAGCATATTCTTCCCTTTCATTGGATTATGATTTTTATCGGTGGCTCTTCGTTTCCTTGAACTTTTTCTCTGTTGCACTTGGAAGGGAGAAACTCTAAATAAAGGGTTGCATATTCATCAATTACATTGCATCAGCATGGTAGCAACTATTGCTGCTGCAAGTGTGGCCAAGGCGTAAACGCAATTTTGATGTATGATCACCTGTGTGTATAAGAGAATTCTTTTATATGCATAATCTCTAGTATTTCACTATGCCACTTGATCAATTATTTATATTGTGAATTTTATACTTGTGTGTTTTTTGTCTGTGGATATGAGTACCTCAACTGAGATTTATTACAAATCCAAATAACTAATGATTTGAATGACATGAAAAAGAAAATGAGTTGGATTGTTTTTATATAGATTGTTATTTGTTAACCAAGAGATAAAAGATTGTAATTTTATTTTGTTTAAAAATATATTTTAGATTTTTTAACGAGCACTTCCATTAATTTAATTTTTGTTTCCTAAGTTATACGACAAGTAAGTTCTCTTTCTGGAGCACGCAAAGAGGGGGGTGGAGCTACACCAATCACTAGAAGATGGTGGTGGCCGTGAGGTTCACCGGTGGCAGTGGAGTTCGAGTTGGGGGAGTTCTTTTGAAGATTTCTCTGTTCACTGCTAAAACCTGCACTTCTTCTTCTTTATATTCTAATTTGATCCATTATCTGTATGTAACTGCAAAACCTTGACCCATTTTCCCCCAAAAAGTTTGATGTTCTTACTAAATGCAAAACCCGTAAGTGATGGTTCTCATGCCCAAATGTGTTTGATGTTCTTGCCTCTTTCAGTCATACTAATTTAATTGCTGTGTTTTTGTGGTTTCTTGTGGCAAAGTGGTTTGRTTTTTGATTGCAATGCATATTTACGTCTTTGCAAGTAAGCCTTCCGACTTTTCTGCTTATTCTTATTATTGTTTATTTACGTATATATTTTACTCTTCCTATTGATAAATTTGAAATTTCAGTTAATTTAGCTAAACATAACCTACACTAACATACAGAGGTAATGSCGGCTTGTTGATCAACCTCAACTGCAGTTGTCTGGGAGATAATCAATGCATAATTTTCTCATTTGGATGTGTTTTTTTGTGATTATGGTATTTCAGTTGCATTCTTCCGAAATGGCGAAAAGGTCTGTTGGATACATATGTATACACCTGAAGAAAGACGTTTTTTCAATCTCACATCCCTTAGATTGAGTTAGAATTAAAATTAAGAAAAAAACCAATTTAATTATGAATTCCACAAGCATCAATATTGAAACGACAAGTGATGCAATTCGAAGTGAAAATGGTTTTGTTCTTATTTTAGCCTCCATACCATACTCAACTCACGTACCATAAATACATTTAATCATGTGTGTACGTGTGTGTCTACAGATCAATATGCTTGTATTTACAGTGGGGATGGAGTGTTGTGCTAAACTCGCTACACATGGGTAGTCGACTGAATCTCATATTCGACTCTAGCAGGAGGGTACAGTAGTCGCTGCACCTGATTGTAAAGGTATGAACCTGTGTATCTTAAATCATTAATTATGCCGTATTATAATTGTTCATTTATCCTAGAGATCAACAGATGACAGAGAAATAACAAACAGAATTTGCTGATAAAAACATCTGATATGTTGTAAGTGGGCGGTGTCATTGTGTCGATTGCCCATTGAAGCATCATTTTGAATGACAACATAAAAGAACGTAATGTAACTACCTATATTTTGTGTATAATCTATGTCTCTGTATCCCTGTTGTATTCTTATGGTATTTAATAGTGTAGTTCTGACTATAATAATGTCAATTCTAATATTAACATTTGAGCTTTCTGTTTAAGCTAGTTGTTTGCTTCCTTTCATCTCTTGTGTGTTACCCATCATCCAACGTTGTCCTGTGGAGCATTTGAGAAGAAAGCTTGTTCATGAATTCTGGCTTCTGTGTTGTGCATGAATTCTGGCTTCTGTGTTGTGTTCCGATCCATGTATGTTAGGGCCATTTATTTTTAGTTTCTGTAGTTATCTTTGCATGGGGATGTCGCTTTAAGGAAATGCTATGAAACGTTTTCACTATCATGTTCTCGTTCTCTTGCACAAAATGGGGCTATGATCATCTTGGAAATAGGGTTGTTGATGAAGAACAGAAAATAGAGTAATAATGGCAGTAGATGAAATGGAGAAGGAATAGGGAATTTGTATTAATGGAGAAATAAGAACCAACGATTCCAGGGAAAACTCCCTCTCGAAACAGAAAGCTGAGAGCCAAAATCAAGAAAAATCTCATAATATGCCTGACAACGTCATTCCCTATTCTATTTATTCTTCTCTCTCTCCTCTAACAGACTTGTTAGCCACTTTCCTGATTTACCCNCAATTGTGAGTGACCTCACCTAACGATTGCAACCATTCCATTCCCAACACCATATCTAGATCACCGGTGTCAAAAACTAAAGCATTAATAAGGAACGAGCAAGTACCCAATGAAACAGCGATATTGCAACACTGTTGAGTAGTTAAAACCTTGTAACCATCTCCCAGCTGAATGCGAACTCCGTCAAAGGAGGTGATAGGCAACCCCAACGAGTGAACCAATTTTCGAGAGACAAAGTTGTGAGTGGCGCCACTATCAACCAAAACCACCACCGGAATGTTAACAAGGATGCCTTCGAGCTTCAACGTTTTTCCCCCCGAGATCGAAGTATGAGCCCCAAAAAATTCTAACACCGAACAAGAACCCTGAGGAATATCAGTTAATTCAGGCCCTTCATCCGCCTGCAAACTCTCCAATCGGCACTGTGTGCCCTCGTCCTCATCGTACTCATCATCGCCCAAAATTAGAACACGTAACTTGCCCTCTGGACATTTGTGGCCCAGACCAAACTGCTGTCCACATCTGAAACACAGACCCTTTTTCCGTCTCTCCTCCCACTCCGTACGCGTAAGAGAACGAACACCTCGATCACGGTGAAAAGTGTGTGAAACATCGGATGGGCCCGATCCTGAATGGCGAGTAAGGTTAGAAGAACGATTGGGCTCAACACGAACAGGCCCAGTTCCAGATTTAGGTGAGATTAACCCACGAGAGTCATTACGATCCAACAAACGATCCAATGAAGACACACTCGCCGGTCCACCGTGCTGTTGGTAACGGAAACGAAACTGAGAAATTCCGCCTGACGACGGCCTTAGCATCTCCTCCACATCCTTGGCCAAATACATAGCATCCAATCGAGAGACCGGACGATGCAGACGAACCCATCGTTTTACCTCGTCACGGAGGCCAGCCACAAAATAACCCAACGCCTGAGATTCCGGTAAACGTGGAACCAGAGACAACAAATACTCAAAATCATCAATATAGTCATGAATCGATGAGGTCTGTTTAATGGTTGCTAATTGTTCATAAGGGTTCTGAATTTCTAACCCACTAAACCTCTGTAAAAGTTCTAATTGAAATTGCTCCCAAGTCAACGATTCATGAACTTGTTGAACAATTGTAAACCAGTGTTGAGCAACACCTCCCATACTTAATTGAGCCAACCGAATACGTAAATGAGAAGGAGTACCGTTAATGTCGAAATACAACTTAGCTTTCTGGAGCCACCCTTGAGGATCAAACCCGTAAAACTCAGGTAGCTTGACCTTCTTCACCGCCCACGGCAGCCCAGCGTGAGTTGTAGGGGACGTATGATCACCATCCGCAAACCCAGCAGCCACCCCCGTATTGAAAAACGTGGTCGACGACTGATGTCCCAACCCGGATCCACCAMTCGAATCGAAATTAGGATGTTGTGTGCCCTGCTGTTTCATCCAATTCAACATGATCGTACGAAATTCCCCCGATTCGATTCGATCAGCCTCCAAAGCTTGGAGAGACAATTTGATATCAGCAACATCAGATTGAAGTAGCTGAATATGCTCCTCATGTTGCTCAATGCGATTTTGAACGGAACGAGTCTCCATGAAAATTGAAACAATTTACAGAGAAAAAAACAGTCGACGGCAGGTCGTCGGCAGGTCGGACCAGTGATGAAGAACAGAAAATAGAGTAATAATGGCAGTAGATGAAATGGAGAAGGAATAGGGAATTTGTATTAATGGAGAAATAAGAACCAACGATTCCAGGGAAAACTCCCTCTCTCGAAACAGAAAGCTGAGAGCCAAAATCAAGAAAAATCTCATAATATGCCTGACAACGTCATTCCCTATTCTATTTATTCTTCTCTCTCTCCTCTAACAGACTTGTTAGCCACTTTCCTGATTTACCCCTCTTGTCCTTCTAGAATAGACATGTACAATTCTGGGCCTTTTGTTATTGGATACCAATAAGTCAACATTTGTATCAGTTGTTTAGTACATAATCTGAATTACCAAACATACAAACACTTTATAATGCTTACGTTTGTATATTCCATAAAACATACAAAATTACTTCAGAATTCCTTCATTTGTAAATTTTATTGAGATTTTGATGGTTTATTTCATCAATCCAGCCTTCTTTAGTAATTGGTAAAGACCTTTTGGGTTTCAAGTTTTTCCTTCCATCTTTKCCCATGGATCAACTACATACTGTACTTTTGCAGACTTTGGAGATGGAGATATTGAATTAGTAGATATGCGAGCCAATTATCATTTTTGTGGTCTACACAACTTGCTCCTCCCTGTAAGTAC